CTGCTCCAGGAAGAGACGCGGCAGAAGCTGAACTTGAGCTCACGAGTCCGGCAGCTGGAGGAAGAAAAGTCGGCTCTGTTGGAGCAATTGGAGGAGGAGGAGGCCGTCAAGGCCAGCTTCACCCGCCAGACCCAGGCCTTGCAACAGCAGGTGGGGGACAAAAGACTGGAGTGGTAACAGGGCAGCAGCTCCAAAGTTGCTGAGAGGCGAAAACTCCTTGTTTCCAGTGGGTGTGCAATGATTTATCAAGCAGGCAGAGGCTCTCGGTGCATCACACAATCTTTGTGGGGTGGGTGGGGGGACAAGTGGGTAGAGGTTTCGCAAGGCCCTGCAGATACCTCATGTCAGTGTTGGTTCTGAGGAACCAATTGCTGCCTAAGCATTAGATTCACAAGGATGAGATTTAAAAAAAACAAACTTATTTACACAAGCAGGGTTGACTCTGGGAAGTACTTGGATGGGAGACCTCCTTGGAATACCTGCAGTTGGGAGGTGGGGGCAGGCTTTATTCAGCCACCTCTCTGAATATTCTCCAGGCCCCCAGAGGTCAACATGACTACCCAGTGCGCATGCACATACACACGCGCATGCACGTACACACACACGCACAATGAAAAATACCAAAAAACCCCAAAAAACCCCACAAGCATGTCAGTGTTGGTTCTGAGGAACCAATTGCTGCCTAAGCATTAGATTCACAAGGATGAGATTTAAAAAAAAAAAACTTATTTACACAGAAGAAAAAGATTTACTTTCTTGAAATACTATGGTTTTTTTAAAAATCAGTTGCTTGGAGCATAAAATGCAAAATCCCAGAGTCTTATCTCCTAGCTTTCCATTTGACAGCTTGGTAGTTTGAGTTCCCCATGATGTGTTTTGGACCTAATCTTTTTTCTTGTCTCTCTGCTGCTGTCTTCTGGAAACAGAGTGAACTTGATGCAGTCTCTGGAACCCTGGGAACGGCCGAGTCCAAGACGATAAAACTTGCCAAAGACCTGGCCAGCATAGAATCCCACCTGCAAGATACCCAGGTACATAATAAACGTATGAGGGAGAGATGTGTTTGGCACTGATGGAGGGGGGACCCTAAAGCTGGGCTTGATTGTGAATGGTTGACAAAGGAGTTCACGTGGGGGGACTCTGTGTAGAGGTATCATCTCTGGGTGACCTTCAGGAGGTTAGAGGTGGATCAGAACCCTCTGGTGCCTCTTCTGTTTGTAGACATGGGAGAGCCAAGTGGATTTCAGCATTTTGTTCTCGGCTGAGAGGGGAGAGTTTGGCCTCTGACTCAGACTCCTTTTCTCCCCTCCACCAAATCTCAGGAACTGCTCCAGGAAGAGACGCGGCAGAAGCTGAACTTGAGCTCACGAGTCCGGCAGCTGGAGGAAGAAAAGTCGGCTCTGTTGGAGCAATTGGAGGAGGAGGAGGCCGTCAAGGCCAGCTTCACCCGCCAGACCCAGGCCTTGCAACAGCAGGTGGGGGACAAAAGACTGGAGTGGTAACAAGGCAGCAGCTCTAAAGTTGCTGAGAGGCGAAAACGCCTTGTTTCCAGTGGGTGTGCAAGGATTTATTAAGCAGGCAGAGGCTCTCGGCGCATCACACAATCTTTGTGGGGTGGGTGGGGGAACAAGCGGGTAGAGGTTTCGCAAGGCCCTGCAGATACCTGGACACACCTACCCAAAGGAGGCTGGGCTAGAAGAATGTGGAGGAGAGGACAGCACAGAGTGTGGGAGAGAGCCAGCGGGGCTTGGTGGCTGCCATTCTGGGTGACGAGAGCGCCGGAGACCGGAGTTCAAATCTTTGCTCAGGCATGAAGCAGGGAAGGCTGCAATTGTACTCCCGGATCCAATTGTACTCCAAGGCTGTACTTGGACTCCCGGATCCAGGGGGTAGGAAAGACGGAGTTCCCCAGTTTTGTATATCCACTTGGACATGAACATCAAGCTGCCTTGTACTGAATCAGACCCTTGGTCCATCAGAGTATTGTCCGCTCAGACTGGCAGCCGCTCTTCAAGGTCTCCGGCTGAAGCCCCTCCCACCCCCTTACTGGAGATGCCTGGGTCTGAACCTGGGACCTGGTATGTGCCAAGCAGATGCTCTACCGCTGAACCGTGGCCTTTGCTCTTATATTGCAGGGCTGGTTTGGTACTTGTGTCCATGAACGTTTTAGGGCCTTTGTATTAGACTGTCTTGAAATGCAGAGTGAGAACTGAAGGATACCCAGGGGCTCCAACAGGAGTTTGTCCACCAGGGAAGGTGGATTTAGGAGCCCTGGCTAAGTTTTTGTCTGGAGCAGTGTTCAAGTAGCAAATGGAAAACTACGTCAGGGCTTACGCTTCAGCTGCTCTGTCCTGCCAGACATCTTCGCCTTTCATAGCACAGAAAAAGGGAATCTCCTCCACTGCTGTGTGTCTCTCTCCCTCTCTCTCTCTCTCTCTCCAGCTTCATTCTTGAACTTGGAAAGGAGGAAGGTTCCTTAAACGGACAGTGCTTTAGCTGGAGTGCGATATGGAAACTATGTTTTCTATGTTTGTTTTCTGTGTGCGGAGAGATGGTGTAGCCAGCCTCCCTTTCTGCCAGAGATTTTGCTGGCAATACCGTAAAAATTACAAGAAAACAAAACAAAAATGATCTCTGGATAAGCATGCTAGTGGTGAGGCTTTTTGTATAATAACCCTGCTTGGTCAGCATAGCAAAGAAATAAAGAGCACCATAAGGTCACAGTGAGAAGAACTGGGCTTTTGGGGGGGGGGGCTGGTTGAGGTAAAATCTCCCAGTTTTCAAACATCCTGAGCTATTGTTCATGTGTGTTTACATTACTTCCCGGTGGTCATTTCCCCAGGTGATGGACACCAAGAAGAAACTGGAGGAGGACGCTGGAGTCGCGGAATCCATAGAAGAAGCCCGGCGCCGAGCAGCCAAGGAGCTGGAGGCTCTCAACCTGCGCTACGAGGAGCGGGTCCAGGCCTGTGACAAGCTGGAGAAAGGACGGACCCGGCTGCAGCAGGAGCTGGATGATGTCACCGTGGCCCTTGACCAGCAGCGCCAGGTGGTGTCTGCGCTTGAGAAGAAGCAGAAGAAATTTGACCAGGTGAGGCTTCCATCCCTCAGACAGGTCTGTCCGCTAAGCTCGGATGGCTCTCTTCTCTCCCCATTGTCAGCTCAGAGGGATGCTTCCTAAACCGATGCTTGGGCCGTTGGTCTGGCCGGCTTCTCTTTCTCCCTGCCTTAACTCACTCCTGACACTGCCGCTGACCTTCCTCTTAAGGTGGCTATGTTTCCTCAAAATGAGGGCTGTGACCCAGACATTTGAATTGTGGTCAGTTCATCAAGTGTAAATATTTAAGTATGCATTTGAGGGAAGAAGCAGCCTGAAGAGCCCAACACATCAGAGCTTGGAAGCTAAATAGGGTTGGATGGGAAACTACCAAGGAAGTCCAGGGTTGCTTACACAGAAGGGCACTGCGCAAAAACACCTCTGCTCACCTCCTGCTTTGAAAAGTCCCGGAGGAGTCGCCATAAGTCCATTGCGACTTGGTGGCAATTATGATGGGAAGAGCAATAGTTCTGAAGGGAAAACATGTCACTCCTGTCCACTGTCTGTACTTTTGCCGTACGCACTTAAGGCAAGAGGCGTCTTTTTAGAGGCATTTTCTTGCTGGGGCTCTCAAGGCAGGCATTCCCTGCCAGTGGCTACCTTAAGAGGCATTCCCTGCCTTGTGAGAGCACTAGCAGGAGAATGCCTCTTCAGGGAGCCACTGCTAACCTGCAGTTTTTATTAGTACTTGTTCGGGGGGCGGGGGGGCGGGGAGCCTGCAACTGCTGCATGGTTAATCAGGAGCGCTAACTTGTTTCTTATTGACTTAATCTGACCAATTAACTGGTTAAATAGCACAGCTCTAGTCAGAACTGCTCAGGAAACTGCTTTCCCATTCTCTCCAAACACAGCCTTTTCCTGTATCTGTTTAGATTCTTTCCCCTGCAAATTGCCTCTTCATCCTAAAGGTGCTTTTCCACGTACTGGATCAGTCAGTCCTAACATCTGAAAATGCAACCAGTGTGGTCTGGCAAACACAGGCCTGGCCTTAGGAAGTCTAGGATTAACTCCTCTTGTTATATCTTCTCCCCCCCCCAAAAAAAAGTTTCAAGGACAGTTTTGGTCTCCTTCTGCATTATAGGTATCTATCTGATTTTCTAGCAGCCCTAATAGCCCAGCCTAGCCCGATCTTGTCGGAGCTTGGAAGCTAAGCAGGGTCAACCGTGGTCAGCACTTGGATGGGAGACTTCCAAGAAAGGCAAAGGCACGCCACCTCTGAAAACCATAAGGGCTGCCATAAGTCAGTTGCAGCTCAACAGCACACTTGATGTTTACCTTTGCCAGGTTTAGTACAGTGGCTAAGTGCGCGGACTCTAATCTGGGAGAATGGGGTTTGATTCCCCACTCCTCCACTTGCACCTGGCTGGATGACCTTGGGCAAGCCATAGTTCTGATAAGAGCTGTTCTTGAAAAAAGAGCAGTTTCTGTCAGAGCTCTCTCAGCCCCGCCTACCTCACAGGGTGTCTGTTGTGGGGAGGGGAAGGGAAAAGGAGTTTGTAAGCCGCTCTGAGACACCTTTGGGTAGTGAAGGGTGGGGTATATATCCAATATCTTCTTCTATCATCTACTGAGAGCCAGTTTGGTGTAGTGGTTACGTGCGCGGACTCTAATCTAGGAGAACCGGGTTTGATTCCCCACTCCTCCACTTGCACCTGGCTGGATGACCCTTGGGCAAGCCATAGTTCTGATAAGAGCTGTTCTTGAAAAAAGAGCAGTTTCTGTCAAGAGCTCTCTCAGCCCCGCCTACCTCACAGGGTGTCTGTTGTGGGGAGGGGAAGGGAAAGGAGTTTGTAAGCCGCTCTGAGACACCTTTGGGTATAAATCCAATCTCATCTCTCTTCTCTCCTACCTGATGTTCTGACAGATGCTGGCTGAGGAGAAGCTGATCTCTGCCCGCCATGCGGAGGAGAGGGACCGCGCGGAGGCTGATGCCCGTGAGAAGGAGACCAAGGTGCTGTCGCTGAGCCGTGCCCTGGAGGAAGCACAAGAGATGCGGGATGAACTAGAGAGGCAGAACAAGCAGCTGCGGGCTGAGATGGATGACCTGGTCAGCTCAAAGGATGACGTCGGAAAGAATGTAAGCCCCCCCACACACACACACACACCTGGCTTGGCCAGAAAGGGGAGGTGGAGAAGTGGGGGGGGGCTTAGAGCTAAAATGTTTTAATGTTTTAAATGTTCTATTTTTATGGTTTTAACTTATTTTACATTGTGACAAACCAAATTGTTGTGAACCACCCTGAGCTCTGTGCAAGCCGGGAAGGAGGTTAAAAAAAATCTAATTAAATAAGTTATTTAAACAAACAAACAAACAAACAAATAAATAAATGAAAGGTGCTAAGAGGTCAAGACCGTCTCTCCTTTGCTGGTATGACGCAAACTGGTTTTAAGAACTCACAGACTGTAAGTAAAACCAAGAATCTAAACATCTGGGACTGCGATAAACGAATATAAATTTTAGAAACTGTTCTATGGCTTGGGTGATGGTTTTTGTTTTAGTTGCACATTTTTTTTCGTTATGCTCAGATTCGCAAGATTTTAGGGTAGCCCCCCGTTTGTGTGTCTGCGCCCTCTGGCTGTCATGTTGGTTTTTGGACGTCGTGACGGAGAGCCCGCCTTCCAGGTTCCCTACCCAGTGGGGTCTTCGCACTCGACCCCACCCCCCACTCCTCCAGACACAAAACACCCCCATTCATCCATTCAGGCCCTTCTCCTCCAAATCAGGTGCATGAGCTGGAACGGTCCAAGCGGGCGCTGGAGCAACAAGTGCAAGAAATGCGGGCCCAGCTGGAGGAGCTGGAAGATGAGCTTCAGGCCACGGAAGACGGGAAGCTCCGCTTGGAGGTCAACATGCAGGCCCTGAAGGCCCAGCACGAAAGGGAGCTGCAGAGCCGGGATGACGCCAACGACGACAAGAAGAAGCTGCTGAGCAAGCAGGTGGGGAGGCCGCGGGGGGTGCTGGGCGGGTCCAGGCAGCAAGGGAGGCTCAGGGGGCGGAAGCCCCAGGCATTCCGCAGGTTTTGCTACTGGGAGCGATTTAAAACTTCATGGTGGCGAAAGACAGGGGTCATTTCGTAGAAAAAGATCTAGGGGAACTCATTAGCATAATTCATTAGCATATGCCACACCCCCTGACATCACCGGAAGTGTCATAAGGCCACACCCCCTGACATCACCAGAAGTGTGTCATAAGGCCACACACCCCGCCCCCAACGGTCCCGGCCGCCGCCACCGGCCTTGCAGCTCCACTGCCGAGCCCCATGGGGGGCCCGGCAGTGGACCTGCAAGGCCGGCGGGAGTGCAAGGAAGCCCCGCAAAGGCCCTCCCTGGCCCCAGGCAGGCAGGCAGGGGTGGGGAGAGGCAGGGAGGAAACAACTTACCCTCCCTCTTCTCCTGCCTCCTCCTGGCTGAATGAGGGCCGGAAGCGGGGCGGCCGGAAGCAGGGGGCGGGGCTTTGTCATGTGCCCCACCCCCCTGTACCTCACCCGGGGGAACTGCGATCCCCCGCGATCCCCCCCGAAATGACCTCTGGTGAAAGACAACAGAAAGGAGAGGCTGGGCAGCTCAGAGGCTGGGTGTACGGAGTAAAGAACGGCAACACACAATCTGGGTTAAAGGGGGAGATGGAAGAGGGATTGAGCAGATGGGGAGGTGGGGCAGGCGTGGCTGTGGTGTGGGAAGCCCCCAGCTGGAGCTGCAAAGTGGTGAGCTTTAAATCTGGCTGGCTTGGAGCAGGTAAGTGTCTGCCTTCCTTTGGGTGGGTGGAGAGTCCCTAAACAAGGCATCGTTCAGGGGTGGGTTGTCCTGCCGCAGATCTCTGCTCCGCTTCATACACACACATAAAAGTAGCCTGATTCTAGGCCGCTTATACAGTTTGTTGTCTTTTGAGGAACGTAAGCAGCAGCACACAGGGTGCAAAGGTCTCTTCTGACCATCTGCCCCGGCCGTTGCATCCACAGGTGCGGGAGCTGGAGGCCGAACTGGATGCCGAGAGGAAGCAACGGGCCCAGGCCCTCGCAGCCCGGAAGAAGCTGGAGCTCGATCTGCAGGAGGCGCTGGCGCAACTGGATGCTGCCAACAAGGGACGGGACGAGGCAGGGAAGCAGCTGCGCAAGTTGCAGGTGCGTGTGTGTGCAATGGCATGAGGAGAGGCATGCCCCAGCACTAACCATTCCCTTACTGCCTAGGGCAGTGACCCTGGAGGGGGAAAGGTGTAGGCTGGTGCTACTTCTGTGTCTCTCTCCTCTTCCTGATTCCAGGCCCAGATGAAGGAGCTCTGGCGGGAAGTGGAGGAGGCCCGAGCCGCTCGGGAGGAGATCTTCATCCAGTCCCGCGAGAGTGAGAAGAAGCTGAAGAACCTGGAGGCGGAGCTGTTGCAACTGCAGGAGGTGAGGGCGGAGCTCTCGGGTCCCCCTGACAGAAGGACCAGCTGAGCCTGGGGGGGTGTTAACGTGGCCCTGCAGAGGTCTGTGGAGAGAGCGATCTGCCTGGGCAATGGAAATCTTGCCCCTGCCCCTTTCCAGGTTCCATCCCTGCCAGACTCCTGTGGTGGATTTCCTCCTTGTAGGAAGCAGAAATCCCCCCCTGTTTCCTTGGGGCGCTGGGGAGCAGAGACTGATGCATCCTGCCATGAGGCTCTGACCCGTCCACTGCCACCTTCTTTCCCCCATCCCTCTGCAGGAGCTTGCGGCCTCGGAACGAGCCAAGCGGCAGGCTCAGCAGGTATGGGAACAGTGGCAAGTGAGTGCACGTGGCTTCCCGCCACCCTGTTCAAGCCCATTTCCCTACTGCCCTCTTGTGCCTTTCTTTTGCGCTGCCAAATGCAAAAGGGCTTGAAATGTCTTCTGGGGGTAATTTAATCTGGATCATCCTCAGACGTATCCTTCTGCTGAGTTCCTAACCCTCTGAAACCCCCCCTACCCCCCAAAAAAAATCTGCCCTGTAGGTCTGCCCTCCTGGATGAAAAACGCCACTTGGAGGCGAGAATCGGGCAGTTGGAAGAAGAGCTGGATGAAGAGCAAAGCAACATGGAGCTCCTGAATGACCGATACCGCAAGCTCAGCATGCAGGTGAGCTGCCGCTTTTGGGGACGGCTGCTGCTGCTGTCGTGTATGGGGGTTTTGCATTTATACATCCTACTTTTCCTCCTCCACGGAGACCCCAAAAAAGCTTACAACATTGTCCTCTGCTTCTGTGTTTTTATCCTTGCAACAACAACAACAACCCTGTGCAGTAGGTTAGGCTGAGAGAGGCCGGCCCACTTTGTTTACCCAGCAAAGCTTCCAAGATGGGGTGTGGATTCGAACCTGGGGCTCCCAGATCCTCGTCCGGCACCCCCACCACTAAGCTACACTATGATGGTTGCTGGCAGTACTTTAAACTCCTCCCACTGACCCCCTCCCCCCAATCCCACCTGTCACCTCCGCAGGTGGAGACGCTCACGACAGAGTTGGCAGCCGAGCGCAGCTTTTCGCAGAAGGCTGAGAATGCCCGGCAACAGCTAGAGCGCCAGAACAAGGACCTGAGGGCCAAGCTGGGAGAGATGGACTCGTCCGTCAAGTCCAAATATAAGCTCGCAATTGCAACTTTGGAGTCCAAGGTAGCCCAACTGGAGGAGCAGCTGGAACAGGAGAGCAGGTAAAGGAATGGGGACGAAGGCTGCAGATGTGGTGGTGGTGGAAAGCGCGGTCAGGTTGCAGCTGACTTAAGAGTTGACCCGTCATGGGATTTTCAAGGCAAGAGGCATTCAGAGGTGGTCTTGCCATGGCCTCCCTCTGTGTGGCAACCCTGGACATCCTTGGTGGTCTCCCACCCAAATACTAACCAGGACCGACCCTGCTTAGCTTCCCAGATCTGACAAGATCAGGCTAGCCTGGGCTATCCAGGTCAAGACAGTACAATCCTATACCCTTGTAAAACCACTCTCCTGAACCATAGCCTTGGTATTCCAAGGATTGTTCAATGGGCCCATTGTCCATGCTTTCAAACAAAAGACCATAATCCTGTGATCTGCATAACCTGTACATATTTGCATATAGTTGCTCATTCTGCTGTCTGTGTGGAGTGACCGAGAGCTATGGAAACAATCTCTTATGAATATGACCGATTCCCCACCAGCAGCTGTCACTCGCTACAGAGGAGGGAGCCCAGTTGCATTAGTCAGTTTCACACTATTCTCTGCGCAGCCACATTTTGACCCGCATCTTCCCACAGTTTCCCCTGCGTCTTCTCAATCTCAAAAAACAAGGACCGAGAAGACGTGGGGGAAATTGGGGGGGGGAAGATGCAGGTCAAAATGCGGCCGTGCAGCAAATGGTGTGAAATTGACCAATGCAATCAGGGCAAACAGAAGAGCAAGGGCGGCACAGCTGCTTGTGGGGAATCGACCCCAGAGTTATAGACCAAAAAACACCTCTGTCTTTTCCCACCCCTGAACTTATCCTCTTACGTTGTCTGATTTTTTAGGGAGAGGATCTTGTCAGGGAAACTTGTGCGACGGGCAGAGAAGAAACTCAAAGAGGTCATCCTACAGGTGGATGAAGAGAGGAGGAACTCTGATCAGTACAAGGATCAGGTACGGCAAAGATGCGTGTGAATGTCTATTCCGTTACTATGCCACCCACGTTCTGAAGCCTGGGTGTAGTTTCAGTGCCCAGGGACACTGGGTATTTATTCAAAAGTGATGAGAAAAAGTAAAGAGAGCTGGTGCCTTCCTCTCCCTCACCATTTATAAGCCCCCCTCCCACATTTGTAATTAAAATTGACAGTTCCCAGGGTGGGTGTTCAGTTTACATGATAGGGCATTGGTATGCCAAATAAAGGTTCTCTGTTCTCTGTTCTCTGATAGGGCATAAGGGGCACTGCCAATATTTCCTTTCTTGATGCTGCCTTCCCTTAGATAATGTTCTTTAAAAGCTACTGGGTGGGGCTTAGGAGGCAAAGCTTTTGGATTTCATTAAGGGTCCCGCCTACCTTTTCCCCTTGTGGTTTGAGCAGTGAGGAGGCTTGCAATTTCCAAGCAGGCTTAAGCCTCAGCATCTCTCCATTTCTGGAAATTAAGCATCTACCCAACACTTCCCCTGCTTCCTACAACCCAGTGGTCACTGATCATTCTGGCTAGGGCTGCCAGCTTCCAGTGGGGGCTGGAGTTCTCCCAGAATTTGATCTCCAGACTTCCCCTGGAGAAACTGGTAGCTTCAAGCACTACCCAGGGCTATTTTGGGGCAGGAACGCACAGGAGCGGAGTTCCGGCTGGCTTCAGAGTTGGCCACACCCACTACAGCCAAAACCTCTGCGTGTGTGGCTACAGAGGGAAGGCCTGGAGAGCGACCCCCCTGGTGACTCCGAGGCAGGCGGGCCGGGGGGGTGGTCCTGGAAGGATCAGGGAGGCATTTAAATGCCTCCCTGTGCCTTCCCCGGCCTGTCCAAGGGCCAGCTTGCCTGGGCTCCCTACAATTGCGGAGCACCCGGGCAAGCCAAGAGAAGGCATGGGGGTGTGGCCTAATAGGCTAATGAGCTGCGCTGTCAGGTTGTGGCCTATTATGCTAATGAGTTCCTGCTGGGCTTTTTCTACAAAAAAAGCCCTGGCACTACCCCATAATCTCTAGGAATTTTCCAGGCCAAGGTTGGTGACCCTTGTTCTGGGTGAGCAAATGGACAAACAAGATGGTGGCTATATGTTGAATTTGCTCTTGCTGCTTTACGTCTAAGGTGCATCTGTTCTTAAGGATCTTCCTTGTGTTTACTTTATGCTTCGCTCTTCTCTTGCCTTATCTTGCAGGTTGAGAAGAGCCACCTGCGGCTGAAGCAGCTGAAGCGGCAACTGGAGGAGGCAGAAGAAGAAGCATCGCGGGCCAACGCCAGTCGCCGTCGCATGCAGCGTGAGCTTGAGGATGTCACAGAGTCTGCTGAGTCCATGAACCGTGAGGTCACCAGCCTGAGGAACCGCCTCAGGTGTGTAGCTGTATGTGGGCTGTGCTTGGCACTGGCTGGACTTGAATACAGAACCCCAATTTTGAATTCCATCCCTTGTGATAGTTCTCAGAGCAAGCTAAAGTGGGGACAGATCCAGCCGTGCCTTGCATGTCCTGTCTCTCCTCCCATCTCCCCATTCTTTTAGATGTTCCCATTTTGTCTGTCCTTTTCTCAACCTAACTGGTCATCACTTAGGTACACTGCCTGTCTTCCAGGGAGTGCACAACAGCTCTGTAAGGTAGACTGGGCTGAGAGATGGTAACTGGCCTAAGGCCTCTCAGGGTGAGCTCTGTGGCTGAACACATATCTGAACCCAGAGCTCTCTCGTTCATATCCAGAGGTCTATCCATTGCTTAGCACTGGCTATAGGAAAAGACCTGCCCGTGTTTGTTTTCTCCTTTTTGTGCTTATGTTCACTGGCATACAGACGAAGCAAAGAGGTGCATTCCCTCCCACTCCCCTCCAAAAGAAAGGTGGTGCTTCATGAGCCATCTTTGATCGGCCAGTTTCCTTAAGCCAGCGACACGTTCTAATCACTTCCCACAAAGGATCATTCCGTGGGGAGGCAGGCCTCAGAGGACAATGCTGTACATCCCCCCCCCCAACACAAAAAACACAAATTTAAGCAAGAAAAGTTTGAATACTCTCCCTCCCTTATAGAGACCCCCAGGGCTTTTTTTGTAGAAAAAGCCCAGCAGGAACTCATTAGCATAATAGGCCACGCCCAACAGCAGGAACTCATTAGCATATTAGGCCACACCCCTGACAACATAGCTCATTTGCATATTAGGCCGCACCCCCATGTCACCAGAAGTCTGGTCATCCAGCCACACCCACCTTTTGCTTCTTATTCTTTTTACCTTGTTTGTTGTCAAAACCCAGGGCTTTTTTTGTAGCAGGAACTCCTTTGCATGTTAGGCCACACACCCCTAATGTAGCCAATCCTAATGAGTTTCTGTTGTTGGGTGTGGCCTGTTATGCTAATGAGTTCCTGCTGGGTGTGGCCAATTTGGGAGCCAGCCAGAACTCCGTTCCTGTGCGTTCCTGCCCCAAAATAGCCCTGGAGACCCCAGATGTCCCAGCTTCCTTTCAGAACTGTCTTTCCTCCCTCTGAAGAACCCAAGAATTACTTGTCTGCTCATTTATGCACTTCATTTATACCCCACCTTTCTCCCCGGCGGGGATTCAAGGGGGCTTACATAATTCTTCTCTATTTTATCCCTTGAACAACCCAGTGAGGTGGCTTAGGCTGAGAGGCTGTGCCTGACTGGCCCCAAGGTCACCCAGCAAAAGCTTCCGTGGCAGCATGGGGATTCGAACCTGGGTCTCCCACATCCTAGGCTGACCCTCTAAGCACTTCACCATGCTGGCTGTCTGAATCCTGGTTCCTAGGCAACCACAAGGACTGTGCGAATCACAGCTCAGAGTCTCCTCTTCACGTTCTTTAACATTCTAGTGCCCCCCCCCCCATGAACTCAGCCGTTCGGTCTCCAGCCATGCATTCATCTTGCCTGGAACCCAGACACCACTTGCTCTTGGCCTCAGGCTGTCTACTGCCCTCTTCTTTCAGTGTGGGGGACTTTCCAGATCATTCTTTCATATTGGCATTTCTTTGTTTTCTCTCTTTCTCTCTTTCTCTCGTTACATTCCATCTTTTTCTCGACCCAACAGCAAGTTAGAGCGCCGGCAGCGGAAGTACGTTCTCAACTCCCCCCCCCGGTTGTTCTGCATGTGTGTGTGTGCTGTGCAGTGCAATTTCTAGAAGGGGGGGAGGGATGCGTGTTGTGCGTGTGCAGTTGTGGCTTCACCTTCTCCAGTAGGGGGTGCTGTAGAGAACCTGGCAGGGGCACGTCTAGCAACTTTGCTCTCGGTAGAGGAGGAGCGCTTGTTGTACCCACGACAGGGTAACGTGTGCTTCTCCAGTGTGAGCTTTCAGCTACTCCTGCTTTTGGCAAGAGGCAAGACAGTGACCTGGTAAGGCCTGTGCTTGACATCCATGGCTGCTTCGTTCCCAGTAGACAAGGTGCCGCTGGTAGTGAGCGTGATCAAGAGCATTTTTGGTCAGAAGAGCTTCAAGCCATTCCAGCCCCAAGAAGGGAGACGGGGCTCTCTAGATGCTCTCTTCTTCCAGAGGGGAGTAACGCTTCTTGTCTAACGCTGCTTGCTTGCTTGAATTTTGGTGGTGGTGGTGGTTATTTTTAATTTATCTCACTTTTCAACAAAAATCTGTCTTCCCAAAATAGCTTAGAGCAATCAATATTCAACGGGAGTCCAGCGGAACTAGCAAAAATTTGTTCCGGCATGAGCTTTTGGGAGAGGGTTTAGTCTTTTGAAGGTGGCCCCGGACTCCTATTTAATTTTGCTGCCACAGACCTCCGAGGGCTTGCCCATCAGGAATTAGTACTTAGAGTGGGCTGGTGTGGACTGTGTGTCAGTGAAACCCAGGGCCAGGCAGGCTCTGTCCTTCAGAGTATGAGCTGAAAAGCTAGGCCCAACAATGAGAATGGGAAGGGAAGCAGACTGTCTTGACCCCCAGGCACAAAGGCGAGTTGGTAACAGGAGCTTCGTGGTCTTTTCTTGAGTCCTAATGTGGAGATGGAACATCTGCCCGCTCGCCCTGGTTTCTCATGCAGCAGTGTCCTTTCTGGCAGGAAGGGGTGAAGCAGGCTTTCTGTAGCGACTCCGTTACCAGCAGAGATGGCCCTTCCTGGGTGGAAAAGCAGCACAACTTCCCCTGGGCTCCTCCGGCTGGTGGCAGAGGTGGGAAGGGCGTTTTGTTCACTACAGCCGGCAAGCAGCACTTAAGCTGACCGTGCAAAGCCGTCTCATGCCCATTGTAAATAGGGCGGGCACACACCCTCCTCCCTTTAAAAACAAGAAGGAAGAAGGCAGAGGTGTCAGGTGACCAATTTGTGTGCAACTTAAATAGGCTCTCCAGAACATACCCAGTGCGTTGCAGCTGCCAGGAAACCATTCTGACCTGTTGCGAGTGCTAGTCTGAGTGCTTATAAACTGTGGGGAAAGGAAGGCCCGAGGAAGAGAGGAGCCGGAGCTCTTGCATGGCTTTCCTGCCTGCTCCAGCAAGCAAGATGGCAGTGCTACTAGATTGAGAGACGCATCCTAAACTTTCCAGTATTGGCTTCAGATCGATCGCTGGCTGGCCACATAAAATGCCTGTGGTCAGTTGTCCCCTCAAGTACCTCTGATGCAAAACCAGCTTTGCCTTAACGTCGTTCATTTAATCCCACAAGTGCCAATACGAATAGGCTGTGAACGTCTTCAGGACTGGAGGAGCTTCCCAGTCTCAGCGAGAGCAAGCCGAGAACTTCGGCGTCTCCCCGAGAGGCAGTGCTGCTCTAGTGGATGCAGCAGGAGCATTTGCAGGGCCGGCCCCAGCTAATTTTGCACCCTAGGCAAGGATCCCTTCTGGCGCCCCCCGTGCGCCGCCCCCTCCCCCCGTGCATCGCCCCCCCCATGCTGGTTAGGGCTGCCGCCCTCCCTCGGGTGCTGCTGCTGCCACCGGCCAGAGGATTTCTGCACCGACTGACCCACTTTGCCCAGCTCCTGCCTCGCCCAGCACCTTTCCCGGCTCCTGCTGGCGGAGCCTCCCACAGGCTGGCAGGACGCAGGACTGGGCCACGCTGGGTAGGGGGGCTTTTGGCAAGGGGGCAGGGTGCAGTTTGGCGCCCCTAAGGGCCGGCCCACTCTAGGCGAACGCCTAGTTTGCCTAGTGAGCGAGCCGGCCCTGAGCATTTGCTAGAGAGAGGCTAGTCCGGGGTAGGGGCAGGGGCGCTTGGCGGCGCTTGGAAGACGGCTACCCGCGAGAGACGTGCCACACGCCAACCGAGAGTTGCTAAGTAAGAACTTCACACTTTGACCGTGGTTTCTTTTTGTCTCCCTCCCTCCACCACCCCAGGCGTACACCTCTGAGTTTCACCACCCGAACCGTGCGGCAGGTCTTCCGCTTGGACGGCGTTTCGGACGAGGAGACCGAGGACCCGGAAAGCGACTCCCCTTCTGCGAATCACCAGCCCTCCCAGCCCCCAGTTTCCTCTCAGGGGCAGCCACAGCAGCCGCCCCCACCTGCTGAGGCGGCCCAGACAGAATGAGGGAGGGTGTGTGAGACCCCCCCTGGTGGGTGGGGGCGGATCTTGGGGTGTAGGGATCCCGCCCAGTCTTGCGCACTGTCTGAAATGAATACAGGAATTTGAATACAGGAATACAGTAACGGGGGGGGGGAGGCCTCCCCTCCTGCCCCCCCCTCCACTCCCCTAGCCCCGCTGCCAATCCTGGCTCCTCTTTTAAGGATCTCCTCGCTAATTTGAGTGAGACCTTCTCATATCAGGATGCACTTTAATATCCACCACCCCTGAGGGGTGGCATTGGGATGGGGTAGGTGGGGGGTCAGGATTTTAACTATATCCCTTCTAACAGAAAACACAGGCATAGACACAGACACACACCCCAACTCAAATAGCCAATCCCTCTCCTGCACTTTTCGTCCCCCACCCCCGTGACCTTCTTCATCCCCCACCCCACCCCTTCCAGTTCCAGTTGGAGCATAAAGGAACCTTCTTCCCAGTCTAAAATGTTGTGAGCAGGTTGATGGACACAGACTGGAGGCAGCAGGCGGCCTGGCCTGACAGCGCAGCTGCTCCTGGGGCAAAGAGGCCGGTCTGTCCCACCGTCCCTCTGTCTGGGCCATCCAGCCCTAGTGGGGGGGGGAGGGCACAGGGGTTTTTTCACACACTTGCGTTACTGCATGAAATGGTCCTCGGTGACCTTTAGGATTGCTGGTTTCCCTCCCACACCCAGCCTTCAGTGGGGGGTAGGGTTGCCAGATCCAGCTTGGGAAACTCCTGGAGGATTTGGGAGTGGGGCCTGGGGAGGACGGGGACCTCAGTGGGGTACGAGGCCATAACAGTCCACCCTCCAAAGCGGCCGTTTTCTCCAAGGGAACTAGTCTCTCTGGTCTGGAGATGAGCTGGAATTCTGGGGGATCCCCAGGCCCCACCTGGAGGCCGGCATCCCTAGGTGCTCCTCGTGTCCCTTCCCGTAAAGGTCATGTGAAAATTATCATCGCCAGAAGGATGTTTCTTCCAGCACACCGTGGCCGGCTGCTGTTTTCTGAATCTCCTCCAGCACCTGCCCTGACTGTGGGCAAAAACAAAGACTGAACTGGAAACCTTTCATCTCCTGGCCTGCCTTCTCTGGGAACCTACCCTCTCAACATATCGTTTGCCAGCAGTCAAGAGCACTTTGATCTGCCCCCCCCCTCCTTTCCCCGGTCCCTCCTTCTCCTTTAAACCTGCTGGGTCTTTTGTTTTGTCTCAGCCTAGTCAGGAAGATAGGATTTGCAAACCCCATCCTTGGTGAGCCCTACCCAGCCATCTCCTGGGCTGCTGCCTTGCGGGTGACTGTACCACGCATGGATTCTCAAAGGCTCTGTGTTCTCTTTCCAAAAAGAGAGTCAGGCCTCAAGAACTGTAGATGCACGTTCTGAAAACGCCCCAGCTGCATCTGCAAAAGCATCCAATGGCCGTTGCTTCTGCTACTCTTTGCTTGTGGCCTCCTGCCATGGTATCGCACCTTACGGGGTGGGGTGGGGGAATACCCCTAGTTCGGCAAGCATTCAAATGTTAGGCTAAGTAATAAGGCATGCAGTTGAGCAGATGCATGCAAAATAAGGGTGATTGCTTATTGCTGAAATAAGCACAGAATTTTAATTTCCTTTGTGGAGAATTTGGAAAGGGAGGGAGGGAGGGAGGGAAGAAGAGTACAAAGAGTGTGGATTATCTCTGGCAGCTTTCCTTCTTCTCTCACTCACCAGTGGGAATACAGTAGTTGGAGGACTCCCCAAATCCCATTGGGGACTAGGGCCATATTCTCAAAATGCTTCACTCTGTGCTTGTGTTGAATGCTGAACATGACCCATCTTCACCTATCCTAGAACAAGTTCTGTTTACTCAGAAGCTCAGCATCGCTTTACATGTGACCCTCGCACACAGGTAATCTCCACCTGTGGGCAAAAGGCATAGGCTGTTGTATGTGAAAATGGTGCGGATATCCCCTCTTAACTGCGTTTCCTTGGGAACTGCTTACACATATAGGGGGGAAAGATACTACCCCAGGACAGAAGCAATCTTGAAGTCCCTGATTATCCAGGGGTTCATTTTCCTCACTAGCTTTTGTGTACCGCCTTGATGAAGGCAAGGTAGCTAACCTTAGTCTTCTGGAGGAGGCTGTGACAGTGAAATGGCTTTGGGGTATCCCAAGCTTAAGAACTTTATGAATACTTGGCATTAGAGCATTCAAAGTGCTTGTATGTGCATTATCTCAGTAAGCTTCAGGGATCATTTCCTGCAGGAGCGCACAGGAGCGGAGCTCCGGCAGTAAAGAGCCCAGGGGGCAGGCGCATGCAACAAGCCCCACCCCCTGTTCCCAGCAGCCCTCGGTCAGAGCAAGAAGCAGCCAGGTAAGTTGCAGAGCTCTCCCCGGCCCCCCGGTCCAAAACAGTCCAGTGGCACCTTTAAGACCAAGTTTTATTCAGGTGCAAGCTCTCCCTCCTCTGCGAGGACAGATCTGCACATTCCCCCTACCCCCCAATAGCTAACAATCCAAAACAGTCCAGTGGAGCCTGAGCGGTGGGTGTTGCCTTCTGACACACTTCCGGTGATGTCAGGGGGTGTGGCATATGCAAATAAGTTATGCTACTAAGTTATGCTAATGAGCTCCTGCACCTCTTTTTCTACAAAATGACCCCTGCTGGTAGGTATACATTTTTGCCCTTCTTGTCCTCTTAACATCCCTGTGGATAGAGACCAGTGAGGCCGAGAGAAGAAAGTGACTCACGGTCACTGAGTGAGTTGCTTGGCTGAGACAGACACTCTCACCACGACACCACAGTAGCTCTTCCGTACATGAAACACTGCACACTGTAAGCTCGTGTTTAGCAGCAGGTAGGTAGTGAGGCCCTGACCTGGATGGGCCAGGCTAGCCCAATCTTCTCAGATCTCAGAAGCTCAGCAGGGTTGGATGGGAGGCCACCGAGAAAGCCCAGAGTCCCTACGCAGAGGCAGGCAATGAGGGCAAGTCACCTCAGCTCACCTCTTGCCTTGAAAACCCTATGAGGTCACCATAAATAGGCTACAACTTGACGGCACTTTCCACCACCAGGTAGTAAAGAATAAAAGTCCGGCCCAATACTGGTTCGGCGTAGTCAGTCTTAGTTGCTCAGAGCGCAGGGTTTGCAAATCCTACCTTTGACTCTTGGAAAGAGATCCAGATTGACGCTCTTACGCTCTTCTGGCTCCAGGAGGTGGTTCTGGGGGTGGGCCTGCCTTCTCTCCTTGTTATTATTTTTTTTGCATGGTGGTTTCTTGTCTTAAATTTGTGTTAATCCTATTATTATTATTGTATTATTTGTTTCTAACAGATATTTTTCTTTTGAGCAATTTTATTTTTTCCCTCAAACCCAGGGGGTTTGCATTTTTTTTTTTTAATCTGTGTCCCCCATTTTGTTTGGTTTTTTCCCCTCCTTGCTGGCTTGCATCTGTTTGGAGTTTCTTATCCTGATGTAAAAGGCCATAGCAATTATCCTGTTCCTTTTTTGTTAAAAAAGAAGAAAAAGAAGAAAAAGAAATACTTTTTAAGAAAAAGTATGTCTTCTATTAAAAGCTCATCTCAGTTACCAGATGGCTGATTTATTTTGGTTTTTGTTACTGAGTTAAATAACGTCATAAATAGTCCACGCTGAAAATGTCAGTCTCCCAGCTGAAACTCTACAGTGGGTCATTGGCGCAAATGCCTTTCTGCGGGGCAAGGATTCGTCCGCCAACAGGGGTGCTTCTAGACCAGTAAAAACAACTATGCCATCCCCTTTATTTTGCTTTTGGGTCAATTGCTAGAAAAGCAAGGAACACAATTAGGGGTTTCTTCTCACTTGGCTTTTTATTAAAAAGCTGTTTACTTTAGTTGCACTAGATTCTGTCCTGGTCCACTAGTGGTTCCAGGGCTATAATGCTAGTTCTGTTGCAGACTCTGCACCCTCTGATCCAAAAGGGTCCTCTCCCTCCCCCATGTACCAGAATGTTTGATCTCAAGACTTGGTGACCAAAAGTTGCTGGTGGCTCTTTCTCCTTCCATTTGTCACCTATCAGCCTGGCCAGTTAGGGACATACCAGCCCTTCACCAGCCGCACTGAGGCAAAATCAGAGCAGGCAGGGCTTTTCTTTACGAGGGGGGTAAATACCTGAGTCTCACATAGGGAGGCGGGGATCCTACCAGCAGTGGAAACAATACCATGTTTCAGTGTTTCAAATTATCAGATTGTTTTCCTTCCAAGCCAGTAACACCAGTCAATAAAACTATAACCCCAGGAAAAAGTGTGTAATTTCAGCAGTTTTTGGTTAGCCTGCGCTCCATTTACTGGCTTGTTGCCTACACTGGAGGGATTGGTTCTTACTGCCTTGGTTTGGCCTGAAACTTCAATCCAATATTCAACCTATTCTTTCTCTTTCCCCATCCCAAGGCAGCCCAAGGAATCTTGTTGATAGCCCAGTCTATAGCAGAAGCGAACACTTCATGGCCTAAATCAAGTTTTGATTGGGAGTCTTGCCAGAATTGTTTTGGGAATCCCACTAATGAGGGATTAAATGGGAGGTTTCTATTTGCTGAAAGAGGGCTGTATGCTGCGAGGGAATCAGAGTGGCTTCTCTGAATTTTTGACACAATGTAATGTAACTTCTTTCTGCCTGGCTAATTCAGGAACAGGACTTGCAAGAGGCATTGGTTTAAAATAAACATTCCTGAAACTCGCCCTTCCCACCGTACGGAACAAGGCAACAAAACCGATGCAGCTAACGCATAAATATAGCCACAAACAGGAAACTGCATCAAGTCATCTCCCTGAGCTCTGTTAAACAACTGGTTCCCACTTGCAACGCTTGGTGCTGTGTGAAGTCTCTCTCTCGAAAGGATCCAGATCCAACAAACTCTGCAATGCACTAACCAGACTACAGCCTGCATCTTGACATACGTAGACTTTATAAAAGGCAATAAGAGCCCAGAAAATCTTTCCAAGTTCCCCGGCTACCAGGCCAGCCTCTTCCCCTGCTGCCAAGCTCCATGCACTGACACGGCCCCTACTCGTTTAGCCCAACTTGTGTTTGAAATTACACTGTCAAGTATAGATTTTTTATGCTAATCTTATGCACATTTATCTGTGCTTTCCTAAAAGAAAAAAGATGGTATTGACAGAGGGTGAAGTGAGGGGGACCTTGAAGTCTCAGGCCTCTCTGTTCTCGCAAGGGCCAGTATGCTTCTATGGGGTCTCTGGTTTAGTACTGAGTTGGGGGTCCCTGGTGTTCTCTGCAGCAATTTCTGCTACCAGGCAAGCTTTCTGCAAGATGCAGTACTCTTTCTCCAAACTGCTGCATCGCTATTAGCATTTTGGGGATATTTAGGCGCCTCCAGACTGAACCCCTCAAAGAAATTGCTTTGGAAGTCACCAAATGTGTGCAAGCCAGGGACCTAATCAATACCTTCAGGGAAACAGTTCGGATTTTACTGCAGGCGGAGAATACCGGGATGGAATGCTTAAAAACTCCCTCCCTGTTGAAAGTTAGGTCCTCACAGAGAGAGGAGGAAGTAGTCTAATTACCTCCCTGCTGTGATTTTTGTGTGAGAAGGATTTGTTAAAGAACCTGGGGAAATACTTCACTATGTCATCCTGCATCTGTTAAATAACAGATTCCAAGGTTGACTAGATTATATTCTTGGATTATTTTGTGTTTGGTCACCAACATACCATTTCAAACCTGTAAAATCAACCACATCCTACATATGAGTACCTTTTGTACCTAATACCAGTGTCTGTTATTTCTATGCAATAACAGTACTGTTGCCTGCAACCTATGCAGTTTTATACTTTACAGAGGAACATGTAGTTTTTCATCATACAGAAATCTGGTATGACACAGTGGAGTAGGTGGTCCATTTCAGAATAAATATTTCTTTCACTGCCCATTCCACACTGTTACCTCTTCCCTCTAGGTGTCCCTTTTTAGACAGCTGGAGAGAATGCAGACCTTGATTTCTGTTTCCATTCTGAAGAGCATCAGAGTAATCAGGATGTTTGATTTCATCTACAGCGAGAACTCTGAGCACACACAGTTGGAAACTTACCACGAAGTGAACATACATAGATGGGAACGGTGTGTAAAGCCCAAGAACCGCTAGAGCGAAAAATCGCACGCAGGCTCCTTGCAGTAAATTGTGACCTAAAGTCGGGTCAATCATAACACGTGTCGAATAAAGTGAGCATTTGACCGTGTGCAAAACACCTTCTGACAAGCCATCTAGGCCACAGGCATTGTGAAGGGGAAATAACATGACCGCCAACATCTTTTTAAAGAAGGCAGGGAACCATCCACTGCATCATGGCTCCGCTGGTTTAAAATAAAAACAAACCCCTTTAAGCAATTCTCGCTAGGACACTTTAGGAACGCGGCGCTGTCGCCTCTGCATCGAACGCGAGAAGAAGGGACGCCATTGGCTGAGAGCGAGGGAAGAGTTCCATGACAAGAACCCTTAGTTTTTGTGTGAGCCTATTGGGCGGCTGAAGGCGTGGCTCCAGCCCCTGATTGGTTAGCGAATCAAACGGTGGAGACTCGGGATGAAAGGTGAGATGGGGGGGGGGAGAGGTAAACTAAGTAATTCGAAGTGGTTAATTCGAAGTGATATTGAGGAGGGCGAATCCGCAACCTCCTTGAAGTCGGCGTTTGTGTGAACGGTCAGGTACTCCAGCTTTCATCTGCACTTCGACATATTTTGTGGTTAATAATTCTGCGTTTATGGGGGGGGGGGCGTCATTTTGTTAATCTTTAAAATGCTACTGGACTCCTGTTTAATGCTTCTACCTAAGTATACATAGGATCGGGCGGTGTGCATTGCGCACCCCCAATTCATTGTCCCGAATCCCGATCCTTTTCTGGAGTAAACAACTCGGACAATCTAGTCTCTTCCTTTGTACTCCCTGTTGGCCCTTGTTGCTTTTTGGGTGGGGAGAAGGGAACCGAACCTCGTCCCGCTGATGGCGGCGGGAGGAGAGGGCAGACTCGTTTGCCTTCGCTTCTGTCGGACTGCGACCCCGCTGCTCTCTCTCGCTCACAGGAGTGAAGTCTTGTTTCCCACACGTCAGCTCGTCCTTCCTCCAAGGTGGTCTTTCTGCACTTCCCCTCCCTCCCTTTTTGGGGACAGAAAGCGATAGTGATCCCCCCCCACACACACACACAGTTTAGAAGTAACACGAAAAAGATATATAAATTCCTAATCCTCCCATGATCACAATGTATTGTTCCGGATTCGAAGCAAAGTTTGAGTCCAGTGGCACCTTTAAGACCAACAAAGTTTAATTCTGGGTCTAAGCATTCGTGTGCAAGGCATGCTCACTTCGTCAGATGCTTTTCCTGCTCTTCTTCCGCTGTTAAAAATGCCTTTTCTCTATTTTCTTCCTCCACTCACTCTATGAGACGTTATCACAGTCCAGTCTTCCCCCTTTACATTTCCAGCCTGAAAAGTACTGAGAAACGTTGAGTGATTCCAGCAGAGTACTTTTATTAGGATAGAACAAGACAAAGAACTGCCGGCTCGCAGGCCGGTATATATGGCCAGAAAACCCGCCACCAAAACACACCCTCTACTTCCTATAGGCTATTTACAGTAGCTGAGAGTCCCATAGGCTCTCGGCTGCGGACCTGGCCCTCTGATAGGTGCGGGCTAGGATCCGTTTGGCTATTGTTCTCCCTGAGCGAAGCTTCAGGGCTTTGCTTGACCGCATGGCCCAACGGTCGCGCACGTGGTAATGGCGGAGTACATTACACAGCCTGTTCCACTTATTAAGCGGCTACCCTGCACCCTCTCTTCCTGGCAAGCGAGAATATGTTTCCAGTTGCCAACTCTGGTTTGGGACATTCCTGAAGATGTGGGGTGGAGCCTGGGGAAGGCAGGGTTTGGGGAGGGGAGGGTCTTCAGAAGAGTATAATACCACATGGCCCACCCTCCAAAGCAGCTGTTTTCTCCAAGGCAGCTGATCTCTGTACTTTGGAGATCAGTTGCAATTCTGGGAGATGTGCAGGCCCTAGCCAGTTTAGTGTGCTGGTTAAGAGTGGTGGACTCTAATATGGAGACCCGGGTTTGAGTCCCCATTCCTCCACATGCAGCCAGCTGGGTGACCTTGGGCCAGTCACAGTTCTCTCAGGGCGCTCTCAGCCCCATCGACCTCACAGAGTGTCAGCTGTGGGGAGAGAAAGGGAAGGAGATTGTAAGCCGCTCTGAGTGAAGGGTGGGCTATAAATCCAGCTTCTTCTGCCAGATGTTGGCAAGGCAACTGTACCCGAGGCTTCTCCATAGCCGTCGGCCTGGTTAAAGATTGCATGGGGTCAAAGAGTGAAGCGAATTCAGTGAGCCGCCCTGGCAAGATAAAGGCCTCTTGTGTCCTAGGGGTCAGTGCTGATTGTGTAAATAACATTAGAGTCCTTGCCCCTGGAGAACCATGCAGTGCCCCAAGAATGGCACAAGAAAGGTGGCAAGCTTGAGTGGGGTCCATGGCATAAGAAGAGCCCTGTTGGATCAGGCCAAAGGGCTATCTAGTCCAGACTCCTGCTTTGCACAGTGGCCAGTCTCATAACTCCCCGTCTCTCTCCCGCATGACTTCCACCTGTGCTCTTTGCATCACCTTGGGCTCCCTGTGCTTTTTGCTCCAGGTTGGGTTCCCACCTGCAGCAGAATCTTTTTGCACTTTCACACTGGAACCTTACCCATCCGTTGTCTTTCTGTGGTGCCTCTGTCCTTTTTCAAATCACCTCTGATCCAGTGTCCCCTGCAGTCATGCACCCAAAGCATGTTTGCCTTCTGCGTAGAAGGTATCCTGCGCTTTAAAAGATGCTGGCCACTTTTGTTCTGTTTTCTTTGCTGCGTCCCGCTGCAGCCACCATACCATTCCCACCGGGGGGCTTTTAAAAAAAGATTCGCAGTAGCTAGATTGCCATTATGTTATAACAGTTTCTCTGTTAAGCCCTCTGAATTCCCAGCTTGATGGTTTAAGGGCAAACCTCTGGGCCTTTTCACTGCTGAGAGACACCTTTTCCCTTCTATGTCCACAACAAAAGGGACTAGAGAGGTATTATTTTAAAGGAAGTTCCTGTAGCCACTGCATGGAACTCGCAGCCCCAGTAGCAAAGGGAAAACGACAGGGAACTGTTGCTGTGTAGAAAACTCCCTGGTGAAGGCACCCACAGCATGACTAAGGCAGTGCCTGTCTCAAAACCGGACCTAAACCCAGACTGAAATGGGTGTTTTGCATTTGCGTGTGTTGGTACCCGTGCCTAGAAGCCATGGCGACTTCTGGCAACTCCTACTGGGGCATGGAGGATATTCAGAGAAGTGGCTTGATAGCTGCCTCTGCCTCCCGGTCCTGGTATTCTCTGGAGGTTGAGAGCCAGTTTGGTGTAGTGGTTAAGTGTGCGGACTCTAATCTGGGAGAACCGGGTTTGATTCCCCACTCCCCCACTTGCACCTGGCTGGATGGCTTTGGGCAAGCCGTAGTTCTGATAAGAGCTGTTCTTGAAAACGAGCAATTTCTGTCAAGAGCTCTCTCAGCCCCACCTACCTCACAGGGTGTCTGTTGTGGGGAGGGGAAGGGAAAGGAGTTTGTAAGCCGCTCTGAGACACCTTTGGGTTGTGAAGGGTGGGGTATAAATCCAAACTCTTCTTCTTCATCATCCAGATACTTGCCAAGGTCTGCCCTGCTTAGCTTCCATGATCTGATGAGATCGGGCTTGCCTGGGATGAAAAGGGTGTTGATGATTGGTCTCATCCAAAATGACCTGGACCTGAACCAGTACCACCTGCTCAGCCCTCTTGCCCCAGTAGGGAATATGTGTGGCTGGTCTACAGGCATGGAAATCCTCCGAGAGTCCAAGGAAGACTTCTGTAAGAAGGATTTCGCCAGCATTTCATAAATGGGCCCTTCTGCTCTCTGAGTGAAGCAGTCACTAGCGCCCGACCATGCAAGCAAAGGAGGTGGGCCTCTTGGGCGCCAGGCATTACGAGGCACCAAATTAGAAGGAAGTGGGTTTGTTTTCTTTATCTGAAACAAGATTGATGTTATCTGTTAGAAACAGAAGTTCCTTCTGGTTTTGTCTATATTGAAAGGGGAGGGAGGCAAAGTCATCATTTGGCTGGCAGTGGTGGAAAGTGGTGGACATTACAAGTCACAGTGGCCTTCTGGTGGCCACTCGTAGGATTCTCAATCATCATTTGGCTGGCAGTGGTGGAAAGTGCCGTCCAGTCACAGTGGCCACTCGTACGCTTCTCAAGGCCAGAGATGTTCAGAGGTGGTTTGCCATGGCCTGCCTCCACGTCATGACCCTGGGGCTCCTTGGAGGTCTCCCATCCAAATACTAGCCAGGGCCGACCCTGCTTAGCTTTCAAGATCTGAAAAGCCTGGGCTGTCCAGGTCAGAGTTACCATTTTGGTGTAGTGGTTAAGAGTGGCGGACCCTAATCTGGAGAACCGGGTTTGATTCCTCACTCCTCCACATGCAGTCAGCTGGGTGACCTCGGGTCAGTCACAGTTCTCTCAGAGTTGTTCTCTCAGAGCTCTCTCTGCCCCACCTACCTTACAGGGTGTCTGTTGTGGGGAGAGGAAGGGGATGAGATTGTAAGCCACTCTGAAACCTCCCCCCACCCCCCCGAGTGAAGGGCAGGGTATAAATCCAACTCTTCCCCTTCTCCTCCGAAAAGCCTTTGACCAGTCCTGGTAGTTACTCTTCCCTGGACCCAAGCTTGTCACGCCCTTCTGGTCCACTGGAAGAAAAGGTGAGCATGGAGTGATAACCTGCACGTCTCCAAGCAACCTGTCCCCATCCTCAAAGGTGTAGAAACTGAAAGGTCCAAAAGAGTATGCCGCTAGTTGAATTATTCACCAGCAGAGGGCACCACTTCCCTTTCTTCTGGCCCCAGCTGCACCTGGGTTGTAGGGTCTGGGCTTTGGACTCAGCTGATTTAAGAAAGATCTGCTTTCTCTTGACTTAAACTACATCACCGTTATGCAGAATGATGAGACATACAAGGGCAGACCACCCCGGCTCATCTCTTGCCGTGAAAGCACTCTGAGGTCAGCATAAGTCGGCTGTGACTTGCTATTTAAAGTTTATTTAAAACATCTTTTATCTCATCTTTCCACCCAATCAGGGTTGCCAAGGCGGGAAACGTAAACATTAACCGCACTTCCCACTGCCAACTTGGGCACAATTAAATCTGAGTTGCGTGTTAAACCTACACTTAGAGTCTCTTAATTGATGGATCTCTGTGAAACGTTAGACTTACGCCTGCTTGTGGAAAGACTCTTTTGAGGTGAAAGGTTGTTAGTGTGGCACAATGATTCATACGCTGTGTTGCTGTTATGGGCTTGCCACTGAGACCCTGGGACTGGCAAGCCACCCCATGCCCTGGGGGTCCATCCTGGGGCTCCGGGAGATGCCCATCCTGGAGTTATCAGCCACTCCACCTGGCTAGGCAGTTTGGTAGTCCTCTTTTTTTTTGGGGGGGGGTGCTCACAAACTACCTGAGCTCTGCAATTTGAACTGCTCTCAAGTGATGAATGACCGTGCATAAGCGAACAGGCACCTGGGTGAGCTCTGACTCACAGTAGCGCGTGCTGGAATAAGTGTTCGTTCTTAAGGATTTTACTGGGATTCTGTTTGATTTTGCTACAGCAGGCGAACCTGGGAGTAAACAGACGAGGACGTTCTCCTCTGTCACCTTAGTTACGGGGGGGTGGAGCAATTTGCTTTCTTAAGGAGTACCTCTTGCTTCTGAAAAGCTCCGGATTCTCAATTGTCGCCAAAGAAAGAAACAGGTGCATCAGCAACCAGACGTGGATGGGTCTGTAACTACCAAACTGAATGTGTTTCAAGGCGAGCTGAGAGGGGGCTGGGCAGGGGTGTGAACAGAAGATATTGTTACCTCCCCCTTCCTCCAAGCCCCTGCCATGAAGGAGGCTAGACCAAGGGACTGGCCCTGTGTCCCAATGGGTGGGAATTCAAGCCCAGTTGCTTTAACCACCACACCCACATCGGGTCTCACAGTGCACATGCCCTATTTAGATATAAACTAATACTAATAATAAACTAATAATAAAAGGAGCTGCGGTGGCTCAAGTGGTTAGGACGCTGAACTGCAGGCTGTGGAAGGTCAGTTGTTCAGCAGTTTGAGACCCGAGTTGCCGCATGACGGAGTGAGCTCCCGTCTCTAGTTCCAGCTCCTGCCAACCAAGCAGTTCGAAAGCAAGAAATTGCAAGTAGATAAATAGGTACCACTTTGGTGGGAAGGTAACAGCGTTCCATGCGCCTTGGTGTTTAGTCATGCCGGCCACATGACCACGGAAACATCTTCGGACAGCGTTGGCTCTTTGGCTTTGAAACGGAGATGAGCACCGCAACCCTAGAGTCGGATTCAACTGGCTTTCGAGCAAGGGAACCTTTACCTTTACTAATACATTTTAGTTACTGACTTTGCCAGTTCTTCACAAGCTTCCTTGTTAAGTGAAAATGTAATGTATCATTAGGAAACTTGATCTGATCGATTGGCCCTTTTCCTCCTGGGAAATCAGAAGAATGATTCAGATTGCTTTGGCACAAACTGGCCGCCATCTGTCCTCCAGGGGGAGCTGTTTCAGAGCTCTGAATGAGGACTGTTTCTCTTTTCAGAGTCCGCAGTCGCCTCCTCACAGAAATGTCTGCCTGCCGGCTTGGAAAAGTGTTTCCCAAGACAAGCATCCTGTTCTTGTGTGATATGCAGGAGACATTCCGGCCGAACATAAGCTACTGTCAACATCAGCTACTTCCCTCAGATTGTATCTGTGGCAGCTCGAATGCTGAAGGTATAAGAGGCGCGGGGAGGGTGGCTGCGCTTCGGGGAAGAGGACGGAGGGCGGATCCAGAATCCGGGATGGCGGAGAGGCTGTTCCTGTGTTAGGCGGCTTTGTTAGTGTTGGGGAAATGAGGAGGGCAGGAACCTTCTCATGCACTCCCATCTCCACTGTGTTCATTTTGGGGACGAGAGAAGCTGGCTCCCAAATTTCAGAGAGAGAGAGATGTTCTGAACCAAAACTCAGTTTATTCCCTTGCACACTCTTAAGTCAGAAAACACTTTTGTAGCATTTCAGTATTCAACACTGAATATTTCAACACAATCCCAATACGTAAACTGTGCACTTGTCATTCTATAAAGGACATCCTATAAAAGATGATGATGATGATGATGAGATTGGATTTATGCCCCGTCCTTCACTTGGAGTCTCAGAGCGGCTTACAAACTCCTCTCCCTTCCCCTCCCCACAACAGACACCCTGTGAGGTGGGTGGGGCTGAGAGAACTCTGACACAAACTGCTCTTTTTCAAGGACAGCTGTGCCAGAGCTTGTGACTGACCCAAGGTCACATCAGCAGGTGCAAGTGGAGGAGTGGGGAAATCAAACCCGGTTCTCCCAGATTAGAGTCCGCACACTTAACCACTACACCAAAGATATCCCTGGTTGCTCTGTCAAGACCCATAAACGGTAGGGTGGTTGATCAGAACAACCAGGAACAAAACTAAATTCAGACATGAAGTACTCTCCCCCCCACACACATAGGAGCTAATGTAACTGTCAGTCAAGTCTGTGATGAGCATTTGACGTGTACCACAAAGTCAGCCCCTTTCTTTCTATCTCTGGGTCAGGAAAGTCAAGGAAAGCTGTATTACGCTAGGGTGACTCAGAGAGTCAAGGAAGCTCGTTGCAGATACTCTGTCTGTTTAGAATCTGATAGTGACTCCTGACTGCTGCAAAGTATAAACATTCCCAGAAGGCAAAAGGCACGTGAGTCAGAGTCGTGTACAGCGAAGGCCACAGCACTCGGCAGAGTCCTGAAGCTTCCGGGGAACAGAACCAAAGGTTCAACGATAAAGCTGATTACTATAGAAATTAAAGTATCATAGGTGTACCAGAGGTTTTGCAGAGTTCTAGCCGAGGACTGGGGCTCAATCCAGCCCTAATTCCACGACAATTAGTTTATTCAGATTGAATTGGGGGTATTTTGTCTCTCTCTGTATCTGTCTCCTGGCGATGCAATGGAGTGGCAGAGCCACTGCCCGACTGCTGTGGCTGAATGGAACGAATTGAAACGGAACCCTGACAAAGCAGAGGTAATTCTGGTTTGGAAACCTGAGGTCTTGAAGGACATTGGGCTTTCCACTTTCAGTGGGGTTCAGCTAACGCTTGAAAGCCGGGAGGTTGTACTGGAGCTGGCATCACTGCTGGAGAAGCAAGGTAACACCTCTGCACCCACAAAAAAGGCTTTCTTCAAACGTAGTTTAGCCCAGAAGATGGCCCGTTTAGCCACCTGGATCCATGCTGCGGTGAACATCAAGACTAGACTACTGTAATGCACACTACACAGGTCTCCCCTCGAAGTCAGCACAGAGGCTCTGGTTGGTGCAGAGTGCTGCCACTTGGTTATGATCAGAACCTAGCTGGAGCATGCAAGTTACAGCCAATGTTCCCTCTAAGCCGTGGAGTCTCATGAGCAAAAATTCTACTTTGTGAGCTCCTGGCATTAAAGTTGTGAGCGAGCAATTTGGCTGCTGCATAAATTAGTTTGCTTTGGAGCCCTCCTTCCTGAGCTAAGATAAAAATGTCTGAGCCAGAGGCTAAAAAACTGTGAGCTAGCTCACACTAACTCAGCTTAGAGGGAACGCTGGTTACAGCCATTCTGCAGTCACTCCCGTTGGCTGCCCGTCGGCTGCCAGGCTCAGTTCAAGGTATTAGCTGTCACGTATGAAGCCTTTCGTGGCCTGGGGGCGCCGTATTGGCAGGACCGCCTCACTTCCTATGCTTTGCCATGACAACTTTGCTCACCTGAGCAGGACCTGCAGCAGCCAGCTGTACAGGTGGATTCTCTGTTGTAGCCCTCACCCTGCAGAATGGCCTACCTAAGGGGCCCAAGAAGGGCCCCACACTCACAGGATCAGAGAATCACAGAGTTGGAAGGGGCCTTACAGGCCATCTAGGCCAACCCCCTGCTCAGTGCAGGATCAGCCTAGAGAGCATCCCTGACAAGTGTTTGTCCAGCTGCTGCTTCAAGACTGCCAGTGAGGGGGAGCCCACCACCTCCCGAGGCAGCTGATTCCACCGTTGCACAACTCTTGCTGTGAAAAGGTTTTTCCTAATATCCAGCCGGTACCTTCCTGCCCTTAATTTAAACCCATTCTTGCGAGTCCTCTCCTCTGCTGCCCACAGGAACAGCTCCCTGCCCTCCTCTAAGTGACAGCCCTTCAGATACTTCAAGAGAGCCAACATGTCCCCCTCTCAACCTCCCCTCCTCCAGACGGAACATTCCCAAGTCCCTCGGCC